GTGTACAGTATATTTTAACAAAATTACTCTCAAATTTATATCAATATACAGATATTGTATACAGTATACAAAAATCTAGTCCAATGTTTGTTTTGTTCATTTTAAATGCTTGTTTCTTATTGCACAGATGTTTGAGATGTAGATATAATATTTGTCAACTCCAGTTAATTTGAATGAAACTTTTTTTATAACAATATTATAAGTTTATTTTTTTAAAAAATTTCCCCCTCAGGTATCTTCTACTTCCAGGTTTCCATGTCTGTATTTAAAGTTTTAGAATCTATTACTGAATATAGAACTGTAACAGCTTTTTAGTCTTTAACAATATATAGGATTTTAGACTTATTTTCATAGCAGTTTACTAAAATAATTTAGTGAACCAACAAAAAAAAAAAAACCTCAGTAAGCTGTTCTTATATTAATACAGTGCTTTTTTTTTTTTTTAAACCACTTTCTGTTCTAGTTACAGATGTGTAAGAAATTATCAAGTAACCTAGGCATATCTCTAGGATTGACATTTTGTTTGTGTGTGTGTGTGAATCTGTGTGTATATATATAGTTTCACTTTTCTAAACTAGTTTAAAGCATTTCATGGTGATTCTGAATGGAGGTTTATGTTGTTTCTTAGAATGGTTAGTTTGAATGTTCTTAACAAGTATCTACTTAAATAATACTGCAGTCATTATTAAACTCTCAATTTTGCATTGTCTGCATACATACATATTTCCTAGAGACCATTATTATATAAGCATAATTAGTAACATTAGTAACAATGTCAAATATCAAGACCAATTTTTCAATGAGGTAACATATACCTCAAAATTTATAGTGTGTATATAAATGCAAGTCCTAGCATGAAGAAGAGATCAGAGGTAAAATAATTGTCTATGTACTGAATTAAAGTTACATGAATATCTTATTGCAGAACTAATTAGGATCTTTATTCTTCAGATGTACATGATAGATACTTTAGAATTGGATCTGACACAGTGTTTACAAAACTTACTTTAAAATGGAACTCCTCAGTTTCATAAAATAGTTAGGAAAACACTATTTGATTCAGTTACAATTTTTGTGAATTATTGTGAAGGAAGTAAAATGAACTCTTACTAATAATTGCTAACTAATAATTGCTATCTAGTTTATTAGAAAAAGTATTGCGTTTATCACTTGGATACTTGGCGTCAGTCTGAGATGCATTTTAAGTCATCTAAAGATGAGACCTAATGTTTTGGTTAATTCTCTCTTCCACTTCTTCCCCAGCTTTTCTCTAAGGGAGCTTATTAAAATGCATAGTGTTGAAACATACTTTAGATCGCATGGTTATAAGACCGATGGTTTCCTTAAACTTTGCACTCCACATGGTTTTCTCTTCTAAACAGATGTTGATTTTCTAACCTGACAGATCTATACGCCTGTTCTTAGTCATCTGAATTTGGTCAAGATTGAGCTCTACTTCTCATCTTCCAGGCTCAAATCCTCTGTTCTATTTACTACCCTGGCTACTGTTATTTTTCAGTCCCCCAAAATAGAAATCCAGAAAACTGGGGTTCCTCTTTTATCAGGATTTGTATCATACCTTTGACATTTTGGGCTAGATAAGTCCTTGCTATTCTATACATTGTAGATGTTTAATAACATCCTGTCTGTTTCCTCTTACATAGCAACAGGACATTCTCCCCTCACCTCATCCAACCTCCAGTTCTGAGAATTGAATGTAAAACTTTATGCATTTCCTGCCTGATAGGCAAGCATAGTGCTGCCAACTTTATATCTTCCTTAAAGCTCATACTTATGTCCTGCCTGGTTTCAGTAGCTTCCAGTGGAGATCCCCACACTTTTCTATTTATTCATTCTTGTGTCTTGTATACTCACTAAAATTCTTACTTAATTAAAAAAATAAAAAAACTGTGGGTATGGTTGTTTTGAACCACATGTGTGTATGCTCAAGGAGATCAGCAGAAGGTGTCAGATCCCCTGGATCTTGAATTATAGGTAGTTATGATCAGTAATGTGGGTGCTGGAAATTGAGCCCCGTGTTCTGGAAGAGCAGCCAAAACTCTTAACCACTGAGCCCTCTCTCCAGCCCTCTCACTAAAGTTCTTGCTAAATACAACACACAGTGTACTGTGTCTTCCAATTGTTCCATGATTGTTTTGTCCATGAGAACCCTCATTCAGATTATCATGCTAAAGAATGTTTTATTTTTAAAGTTCTGTGTCCCAGCATCTCCAGCCTCTAGCCCAGATATTTTTTAATCTTGTGCTTGAATGCTATATCAGATGTTATAGTGTTCTCATTAGTTATACGAATTTTCCTCTTTGTATTAGTGACCTTTATTCCCCTAGTCTATATCATCCAGACTTTGATAAGTTGGCTTTTGACCACAAAAATCTTAATTTGAACTTTTATTTAGAATATTGTACAAAGTATATGCTTAGCTGATATTCAAATGTCATTTGTTTATGAAACAACTAGTTAGCAGGTGTTACTGAAGGAATTAATGTAAATTGGGGGAGTCATTGTATGGAAAGTCCTTACTTTATTGAAGACATTGTATATACAGTGAGTATAGATTTGTCAATTGATAGAATGCTTGTTGGGACAGTATCATTAGTTTAATTGCTCATTTGGTTTCTTAGAAAATGTTTATTAGCATATATTTCTAGAATCACTAGTCTGAACTATAAATTTTCTCCTATCAGTTGTAAACAACAAAAAAGCCCATCAATAGAGTGGTGGTGGCACACACCTTTAATCTCAGCACTTAGGAGGCAGAGGCAAGTGGACCTCTGTGAGTTCAAGGACAGGGGGGAGGGTGGGGGAAATTCTCTATATACCTTCATGAAGTTGTGTGTGACTCACTTTTCCTGTGAGTTGGAGCTAGCCATGGTCTGCAACTGTCCTTTAGCCTGTAACTTTAAGTAAAAGGTGAAAAAAGGAAAGACAGGGACTTCAGAGCTTTTGACAGATAGGTCTTGTTGTAAGGGCAGCTTCCCTATGAACAGAGGACTGAACATGCGAAAGAGCGAGTGTGTAAGACTGTACCAGTTCAGTATTCTCCATGCACCGCCCGGCCAGACCAGTGTGTGTCAGTTAAGGGAATCTATCTAATACCAGTTACACTTTGATTTTTAGGGACTGGCACAGATGTATTACTCCTTTAAAAAAAAAAAAAAAAAACCAAAAACAAAACAACAACAACAAAAAACCCCTTTAATGAAAGTGGGAGCCTGGTGTTATTTCCAGAAATAAAATTGGGAAAGAGGCAGCTTACCTGCAGGGAAGTAACCTTTTTTTTTTTTTTTTTAACCAATACTGTAAGTGCTAAACTGGATAGAAGGGAGACCTGCTGTCCCATTTATGAGGCTCAACCTGAAGAGCCTTTTACCGTAGATCAGATTTCCTGTCACTGCTTTGTTCCTTTCTTTGTCTTGTTTTTCTTTTTCTTACTCTAATATTTAGATTTAAATATTATATATTTCCAATTAAAAGGTTAACATTTTGAGCCAGCATGGTCGCTTACCCTCTGTAATCTCAGCACTCAGGAGGCTAGGGTAGGGGGATCTTGAGTTCAAGACTAGCCTGAGCTACTTTCTACACAGGTAGGTAGGTAGGTAGGTAGGTAGGTAGGTAGGTAGGTAGGTAATTTTGTTTGGACTAAGGGAAAAGAACGGCAAAGACATCCTGGTGAGTGTTGTTTCCTAAGCAAGTTTTACTCAAAACTTGACAACTTTGGGCTATAGTGCTCCTGCTATGAGCAGAATGCCTTGTGCCTTCTTTTCTACCTTGTATAGTGTTTTGAGTAGTAGTTACTTTTTGTTTCTTTCTATTTGTAAAACCTTCTTGTACATTGTTAAGATCCTCCTTGGTTTAAGAAAGTATTGTCAATGGTTTTGAGTATACTCCTCCATATACTTTCCAGTATAGCTCATGAAAGGATAGTATTTTTAATGGAGTTATTGCAGAATGATGCAGTTGTAAGTGCATACAATGTTAGAGTTAGAGTCAAATAGAAGGATTCTTTTATTTTATAGTGTTTGATGCACGTTTCTTTCATGTATTTGTAGACATGGTGGTGTTATGTTTACAGCTCAGTTTGCCCTTGAATGTATAAGCTATCCTATCTCTGCTTCACAAATTGTGAAGTATGCCCTGGGTATGCCCTGGAACACCCAGTTAATGTGTAATTCCTTTTATTATCACTGTTTTGACATTGAACATGTGACCAATTATAGCATGGCTTGTGCCTGAATGAAGCTTATCTAACACCCATTTTTCTTCATAGGGCACATTAACTTTGCATCTATGAGTATACAGTACTTAGGAACACTTCAGCATTATGCTGAGAGGCCATCGTAAGCAGTAACAACATCTATAATAGCACAGCAGTGCAAAACTGTGGCACTAACGAGACCACTAAAAGACACCTGCTTGTGTAGTCTGAGTGCTAAGGCAAGACGACAGTATTGTCTTGTTCATCTTCAGGTGGAAAAGTGCACGTGTTGGGTGACTCACATTTTTCTACAGCTCTGTAGGATTGGGGGGCATGGTGTCTGTTAGATTGTTTCTCTATTGCTGTGATAAAACAATAACTGAGAGCAGGGGATACTGCTTACTGGCTGGCCAAGCTTGCTGCAACCCGGGGCCACGGGCAGTAAAGCCAACGGTGGGCTGAGCCTCCCCTCCCCCATCAATCATTAATCAAGAAAATTCCTCAGAGATATGTCCAAAGGGCGTTCTGATGCTTGCAAATCAGGCAGAAACCTACACAGCATCACTGATGACTTATTTCTTTTGAGCAGCTAAATTATGTGTACATAATCTCCGAGTAGCAAGAATTGGCTATAATTGATTTAAAGAAGCTTATAATGGTATAGTTACACTATTGATATCGGAAAGTATAAGTTTCTACTGATGTAGTCACCTTACAGTTTTTTGTCTCCTTGTCTAATGAAATACAACTGTTTTCTGTTTTTCTTTTTTCTTTCTTTGCTCAGGGAACAACCTATCTTCAGCACTCGAGCTCATGTCTTCCAGATTGACCCAAACACAAAGAAGAACTGGGTACCCACCAGCAAGCATGCAGTTACTGTATCTTATTTTTATGACAGCACAAGAAATGTGTATAGGATAATCAGTTTAGATGGCTCAAAGGTAAGCCACATTTACTTCAGATAATCTTACTCCCTTTATCGAACTTTTATTTCATTCATGTTTTTATTTTCATTAAAATATTCCCTTTTGAATTATTGAAGCTTAACTTTAAGAAACAAAAAATGATCATTCTTAGAGTAGCAACATCAGGGTTTTTGAATAAATTAACTCGCTTATTATATTGAGTTTTATGAAGAAACGTATTCTTCAGATTTGTGGTGAATTAGTTTACTTAATGAGTATTTCTTGTATCTCTCTATTGATGTTAAATAATAAGAAAATACTTGAACAGTGAATTTCCATTAGTCACTTTTTCATTATTATAACAATGTTAGTTATTGGTTACTTGTGGAGAAAAAGATTTATTTAACTTGCAGTTTTGAAGCCTAACTTGTCCCATGACCTCCAGGCCATGCATGTGCACACACATAGACACATTTTTGCATAGCAACAATAACAACAAGAAAGTACAGCATTTATGGCAGTTGCCTTATATATACTTATTATTAATATTACTAGGCTGATAATTTTACATATGACCTAGTATGGTTTGAGGACTGAAAGTTCATTTAATGTAATGCTAAACTTGTCTGATTTTTCATTAGGCTCGTTCCGTGTCTTTTTAACTGTCTTATAGGGAGGGCTGGAAGTATACCATGCATAAATAAAGCCTTTGGTCCGAGTCAGTCACCACCGCTACCACAAAGACAAAGGAGGTGGGCAGGGGTAGTGGATGTTGTGTTGAAATCTTACTAGATTATAGGACCTCAGGGCTGCTATATGTACTTTGTGTCTTACAAATACATGAGTAACCTGTGTTTCACCCAAATAATTGGTCTTAAAAGACTTGAGATGATAACAGTTCATTTCTGTGAAGTATTACTTAATGAAGAATAGCTGCTCCTAACTATTTGGTTTAGTGGGATACAACAGATACTAAATGGTATTTCAGGCTTTAGACTGGTAATTTATTTTTCCTACTTGAACTTTAAGTTTCTGTAACCCGTTGTGTCACTTGATCTAAACTACAAGTATAATGTACTTTTTATTAGATAGGGTTTAAAAAGGGTTAGATGGAAATAGGGGACAACTGAAGTAGTCCATGTCTTAGAAGAAAAAGTGTACTGAAATAATAACGCACTGTTTCATTCATGATTGCCTCAAAAAGCTCAGAGTCCGTCAGTCTCAGTCTCCCTCTCTCTCTCTCTCTCTCTCTCTCTCTCTCTCTCTCTCTCTCTCTCTCTCCCTCTCTCCTTCTCTCTCTCTCTCTCTCCCCCCCCCTCTCATTCATTCCCTGTCTGGAAATGCCTAGTTAACAGTTCAGAATATTGCCTTGTGAAGTTTGAATAAAGTCATGGTCACAATTTAGATACAGCTCTGATTGCCTGATAGGTGGAAGTGGACCTCCTGGAAATCAGCTATACACTTTAAAATTACCTATAATAAACAGTGCCCCCATAACCATTATTGTTTCATAAATTGAAGTTCACTGATCACTCAGAAAAGATTTCTTGCAAATACATAATTGCTGTCATGCTTTATGTACACCTAAAATGATATGCTAGTGGAAACTGTTTTGAACTAAGTAGTGAAGAAGCTTTGATTTTGTACAAAGACAAAGTGCTCATACAACAATAGATAGCATCTGTTTCCTGTGAGAAAGGAGGGAGCCAGTTTCTATTGTGCCATCCTTTTTTTTAGCAGGACATGTATGTCCATATATCTTTGCTAAAACCTCATCAGTTCCTGATCGTACATAGACATTTACATTTGTAGTGTTTCCCTTGGTAAATAAATTTAATTTTTTTTCAGAAAATGCTGGATTTTCATTGCACATTTACTAGTTTGCTAGATGATAATTTCAAATTTGACAACACAAATATTTTTGTTATTGATGCAATTATATTTCTTAGTTTTAGGGGGCACCAGTCTGCCCGACTATAAATGTCCCTTCCCAGGACTGGCAGAGAGCATGAATTAGTATGTTGTAATACCTGCAATGTGTTAAGATCTCCAGAGTTAATCTTTATTAACATGCTAAAAATGCTATGTTTTCTAAGAAATTATGTATGGAATAGAAATGATATTGTCACCAATCTGTATTTTATGAGAAAAAAAGTGAAAATACTTGTTAGGAGTTTGTTGTTTTCTTGAGTAGAGAAAAGTCCTGCTAAGTGACTCTCTCTGTCTCTCTCTGTCTGGTATGAAAATATATTTTGTGTAAATAAGATTGTAAAAAGCTTGATTATACATTAAAATAACAATCATTTATATTCATGCATACACTATTTTGTTTTTTATTTAATTTTATCTTATATATGTGGGTGTTTTGTTGCTTCATGCCAGTGTGCCACATTCATGTTGGTTGCTTGGAAACTCAACTAGAAGGTGTCAGGTCTCCTGGGACTGGAGTCACAGACGTTTGTGAGCTGCTAATATAGGTGCTAGAAATTGAACCCAGGAAAAGTAGCCAGTTCTCTTAACCCTCTTAACCACTTGGATATTTCTTCAGCTCCTTCTACATTTTTTTTTTTTTTTTTGATAGATTCTGTTAAGAGTAAAGCCTGTTTGTTTCCAAAGAATAGCATCTAAAATTAATAAATATTGATCCTCAACATTCAAAGGGAAGAAGTTGACCACATTCAAAATTTTTTAAGGCTCAGTAGTTGAGCACTTGCCTAGTACATGCAAGGTCTTGAGTTTGATGGCCCCTCTACCAAAAAGAGGCAATTGCTCTAAAACCAAGCTAAAAGTAGCTACTAACATTTGTCCATTATCAACCTGTTAAAAATGGTAGATTTACAGGGTATGCCTTTGGGGACATGGATGCTAGCTCAATCAGTAAAGTGTGCAGACACGAGGATCTGAGTTCTGTCCCCAGCATCCATGTACAAAAGCTGTACCTTCACACTGGGGAGGTGGAGACAGGTTTATTACTTACCTTTGCTAGCCAGACAACTTAACCTAATCAGCCAGCTCCCGGTCCTAGTGGGAGACCTGTTTCAAAATAAATCCAACAGCTTTTGAGGAATAACATCTGAGGTTGGCTATCCTGGGCAGGTGCACACACACACAGTATGTACACACACACACCCTTACCCCAACACATACACACAAAAACCTTTGAAGTTTTTGGATCATTAAAAATGTATGGATAATTCTAGTAGTTACATATTTCTATATTGCTACGACTGCAATTATCTTTACATATTTGTGGGTTACAAATGACCTTGTTTTTATGTAGCTGAAATGGTCTTATATTTAAATGCCCATTTGCTTATTTTGCCTGGTGACTTTTGTTTTATTTTTCAGGCAATAATAAATAGCACCATCACTCCAAATATGACATTTACTAAAACATCTCAAAAGTTTGGCCAGTGGGCTGATAGCCGGGCAAACACTGTTTATGGATTGGGATTCTCTTCCGAGCATCATCTTTCCAAAGTAAGTTATTTCAGTAGTCCCTGAGAAAATCTTCCTGTCTAATTTATCTGTTCAACATATATAATAGGAAGTTGATAAAGCAAAATACAGGAGAAATCTGTTTAATTTCTATAGTGATAGAACTATAGTGACTTTAAAATATAAATATTAATGTAATATTAAATGTTACATAACAAGTACAAGTTATAATATTAACATAAAAATATCATTGGATTCTCCATAATTATACACATCCAGAATAATCACCACTGGTTAATAAGGCTTCTTGTAGTGAATTGCCTGTGTGGCAGGAAGTAAAAGGTGGGAACTACCTCTCTAGAAGGGATTTTGCTGAAAAAAAATTAGTACCCTTCAAGATAAGCAAACTCTTCCAAATTGTGAAAATACAGTTGACAGGAAAATAGACTTCAAGTGGATTTTGTTGCTGTTGTTTGTTCCTTAATATGACAACAGTCATATATAAGAATTGATTGTTGGGAAAACTTGTGATTTGCTTGGATGTAGAATCTCTGAATGTCAGCACCAAGGGGAATTTCTTAGATAATGTTGATCAAATGAATTATGATGTCTGGAAAGACTTATAAAATGCAGAGCATCACCAGGCTAAATACTAGAAATAAGCAATTGTCCTGCCTATAAAGAAAGCCACCCCATGCTTACAGCAGGGACAACTTGAGTTCTTGCGCATATAGAGTACACAGGAAAGATGTGTACGATACTGAGATGATTAATGTAGCATGAATTCTAGTTGGTCTTAATAATTAAAAACCCAGAGACAGAATTAAAGCTGAAGACCAGAGAAGCAAAGCGTCCAGCCACTAGAGAGTTCTCACCTCTCTCAATGCTCAAACCGAAGGGGAGATCCTGTCCTCAAGACTGCATCTCCAGACTGCACTGCTCCCCACCAAACCTCACACTGCACTAAGCTCCTGTCTTCTCCTGCCTTATAGTCCTCTCTAGTGCAGGGGTTAAAGGTGCATCCCAAGTGCTGAGGTCACCTGTGTGAGCTCTGTTTCTCTTTTAGACTGGATCAATTTTGTATAGCCCAGGGTGACCTTGAATTAACAGCTATCTGCCTGCCTCTGTCTCCCAAATGCTGGGATTAAAGGTGTATTCAACCAGTGCCTGACTTCTATGGCTAACTAGTGTGGCTAGCTTTGCATTCTGACCTTCAGGCAAGCTTCTATTTTTTAGATCATAAATAAAATATCACCACAGATTAGGATGAATATTACTCAGCTTTCTGTCTAGATTCTGTGTCCATAATGCATAAAGATTTATGTTAAAACTTCTGTGTTAACTGTTCTGTTTAAAGGGGTTGCCCTTTTAACAGAATTTTAGATGCTTTCATGAGATTTAATTTAAACGGCATCTGAAAATTAAATTATTTGAATGCAAGGTGACAGATTTTTGTAGATAGATGCAGTTCACATATACATTAAACCTTAAGCTTATTAATTGTAGAAATTGTTGAGATCCTTTAAAACGAGTTACTTTAAATGTCTTACACCTTTGTTAATATTTATTGACTTGATTTATAATTAGGTTAGTATTGAAATAATCTACTTAGTTTTATTTTAGTTGTAAACATTCCTTTTCAATATAAATTAAAGTTTAATGCACAAATTTTGAGGCTATTTTAACTATTGTCTTTGTGATTATAAACCATTCTCTATAAAATGCTTATAATGTATGTGGCCTTATAGGACTGCTCTTAGCAAGACTTACTTTCTAAATATTATGAATTGTGGTGTAGGTATGAGTTTTGGATCAAAGTTTCTCATATAGCAATCTGACAAATTAAAACTTCCAGAAATGATTTCCTTGAAAAGTTATATACATACTTTTAACACATTAGAGGTTAATCAGACACTTTATAGAAAGTTTTTTGTAATGGAGAGAAATCAAGTAGCTTTACTACATGAATTTCATGGTCTTTCACAACAAAGGGCTAAGTTGTAGGTTGATTTCTGAAACAAATGTTCATGAAATGTCTTCTAAACTTAAGTAATTTTGACAATAGATTAAATCCTTCATTATATGTTTCCAAGTTACTGAGTAGCTAGCAAATATAGTAAAGGAATAGTCATTTAAAACCTGTCTCATCTTACCTCCTCTTAGTTGTTTATTTGGGATGTGTGTCTGGGAATGGCTTTCATGTTTTAAGACTTTTTTCCCTCTTCACGTTATAATATATTCACTAGTTGTAACCCCTAGCATTTTTGAGTTTTGATTGAATGTTGAGCAATATGATATAGTTGACATTTTTTTATTGCCAACTCTAACAGGTGTTTTAAGTTATGGAGAATTAAGTTTTCAGGTTTATTTTGTAGCCTACCTTACTACATCTGAATATAGTGATAGAATAGCTTCCATATCCCAAATAAATAGACACTGTGTATGACAGTGTTTCTATGGGTTTCTGAGAATTAGCATTTCATTTTAATAACCTTTTATGTTATTCTTTTTTAATTTTATATTTTTGTTTTCTGTTACTGAATTGGCTGTTTAGAACTCTTTGCTAATGAGTTTTTTAGTTGTTAGTGATAATCATAAATATAATGATATATATCTGTATGACTTACATAGTATGGGCATTATATTCTACTAATATTAAACGCTTTTTCTTAGTATTTTGAAGTAGAAATAGATACTTAATGATTACATTTACTTAATAATTAAAAAAAATGTATAGTAAATGCTTATCAACCGACTCTACCACTCATGTTGAGTCTTAATAAATTGTTCCTTAATAACCAAAGGAGAATATAGATAAACTAGCTTGCCAAATTCTAACTTCTTTGTGTGGTGATATTTTGAATAGGATTTATCACAGTGTTCATGTACAGTGTTTGGGGTTCAGGCTTATTTTTCTATCATTTCCATATTGCAAGCTGTATTTGTTGGAAGGGCTGTGCTGCTTATGTAAGAGTCAGTTTAGAAAATAAAGGAAACCAAGGAAAAATGGGCTTTGTGTCATACTGCTATTGGTTAATGTATATAGTCTCTGTGCGTTCAGTTTGCAGAAAAGTTTCAGGAATTTAAAGAAGCTGCTCGTCTTGCAAAAGAGAAGTCACAGGAGAAGATGGAGCTGACCAGTACACCTTCACAGGTGGGTGTGGTTGATCTGCTTTCATGTGTGAGCCTTGATCACTTCAGACCTTCATGTCCTCTATGCCAGAGTGAGATTAATTACCAAAATAGTTCTAGAAGTACACTGTTTAATTAGTCTCTGACAGAAAACATGTCAGTGTCTACAAGAATAATTTTAAAAATCAATATTAACCCAGATAACCTTTATGTACCTGTCTTAGTTTGCATTTTTATTGCTGTGAAGAGACACCATGACCGACTCTTAAAAAGTAAAACATTGAATTAAAGGGGCTCGCTGCCAGTTTCAGAGGTCCAGGCCATTATCATGGTGGGGAGTATCGTGGCATGTAGGCAGACATGGTGCTTTGGAGACCGTCCTGGAACTAGGTCTGTAGACCAGGCTGGCCTCAGACTCACTTAGATCCTCCTGCCTCTGCCTCCCAAGTGCTGGGATTAAAGGCATGTGCCACCAACACCAGTCTCTCTGAAACTTTTTGAGTGAGCCTCCGATAGTTCAAATAACTCTTAGCACCATCTTTAATAGTTTGGCCCATTAAGCAGTGCTTAAAGTATTCCATTGCTTTCCAAACTCAAAGTACCAAAATCCAAATTCCTCTAAACAAACACAGTGTTAGGCCTGTAACAGCAGTACTCCACTCCTGGTACTGACTTCTTTCTTAGTTTGAGTTTTTATTGTTGTGAAAGGACACCACGGCCATGGCAACTCTTAAGAAGTAAAACATTTAGTTGAGGGGCTCACTTACAGTTTCAGAGGTTCAGTTTATGGTGGGGAGAATGGCAGCGTGCAGGCAGGAATGCTTGCAGGCATCAGGAAGTGAACTAAGTGTCTCACTGAGAGAAGCTTGAACAGAGGAAACCTCACAGCCCACCCCACAGTGACACACGTTCTCCAACAAGGCCACACCTCCTAAGCGTGCCACTCCCTTTGGGGGCCATCTTCTTTCAAACCAACACAATACCGAACAACAGAAGAGCAAAAGCACAAGGTGATCACCCTTTGTTTTTTCCAGGTTCTTTTATGCAGGTAGTGGTAAGACAAATTTGGCCACCTAGAGGAAGGAAAGGAGAGGCTCAGAAAAACAAGTAAACAAAAATGCATTCATGTCCTAGAAGCTAGGTGTGACACAAGGGAATGCCTGAAGGGAGTAGTTAAGAGGCAGAACGAGCAAAGCAAATAATCTATGCCAGACTTTCTTGTGTGATTTTTATGGGGAAAGTGGAGGAATAATAAAAGTAGTTTAGGATTGGCTAGTTTGAGCAATTTCATTGGCTCTCAGTTTCTATTGGCTCTGCTCTGGCTCTGGAGTGATTAAGACAAAGAAATGTTAGTGCAGTACTAAGCCAAATAAAGAAAACTGGTTTGTTTGCTACTAGCATGGCTAGTTTGACATCAAAGGCCTGCTCTGCTTTAGGCTCCTAGTTTCACTAAGTATTGGCTAGTTCTAGGGCAGAGAAGTAGTTTGAAATGTTACAACATATTGGATAGTTGTGATGAGTAGAGTTGCTTATGTGCAAACTTGACAACCTGAGTTCTCTCCCCAGAATTCACAAGCATCCATGTCGTCTGTACCCCACAAACCTGCTATAGCTTGTGCATCCCCCTACCATAACAATAATAATAATTTAAAAATCAAAACATTACAAAATATAAAACAGTGTAAAATATAAGACATATGGCTTTTCCTGATCTTAAAATCTACTTACATCTATTTGGTAAGCCTCACTATGTAGTCAACCCGATCCTCTCCTGTCCGAGTCACGCCAGAAAGAGAGCGCCTTCCCTGCCCCCCCCCTCCTTCCACAGGTCACTTCCGCCCATGGCTCCACCCCAATGGGCGTGGTCAGTGCCACAAAAGGACTATCTCACTACATCACTAAGTATAAAGAGTTCATTTTTATTTTAATTAGGAGAATCTCCTAAATATGCTTTCCTCACATTCTAATCATTTTCTGTGAGAAAGTGAAACCCATTCTTCCTTCTGTGTGCAGCAGCCTGGGATGATGTGGGTGATTTTGTGAAACTGTATTGTGTCTCTTTTTCAAATGCTCTGCCACTCAGTGATTCCTTTGAGCTTAAAAGCTAAAATCACGTGCCTGTATGTATTGATAGTTCTGATTCTTCAGGTGAATGATTTTGCTGTTACCAACAAAAAGCACATTCAGTAAGCAAATGCACAAACATCAATAAAATTATAGTGGGTGATACATTGTCATTGTATTCAGTTACCATTTCTCCACTTATAACTTAACATTGTGTTTAATTGGTTGTGAACTATTGTAAGTTAGCAAGCTAATTCCTTGTCTTTGATGGAAGGAATGTCCTTTAACCTTTAGCTTTGATCAAGGATATAGAAAAGATGATCATACTTGGAAAAATGCTGTAATATAAAAAGGATGAATAATATTAATTTGATCAGCATTTGAGATACAGGCCTTAATTTATCTTTTCAAATATTTGAAGCTTATTAACTTACTACATAGGAGTCAGAAAGAAAAGTAGAAAAAACAATTTCTCCTTCCTCCTCTTCCCTGCATTTTTGACAATCTAATGCTTCTGTTTTCTTTGAATGGAATAATTTAAATGGAAAAAATCGTGAAAATAGATGGTCAAAACCATTATTTTTGAGGTATGCTACATGTGTTAATATTTAAGTGTGTGGTGGGAATATAGCTCAGTGATAGAGATCACTTGCACCCCAGACTCTAGACTGGGATGCCCAGCACTACAAAAGAAAAGGAGCTGGAGCACAAGGTGGCTCAGCACATGAAATCACTCGCTGTGCAAGCCTGACACCCTGGAACTGATCCCCAGAACCCCAGGGTGGAGGGGGAGACCCAACTCTTGACCCTAACACCTTTCCTTCCCCTTCTACCTCAACAAACACACAGCAAACAACAAATTAAAACACAAAACAAAAGCATAAACACTTTCAAGTCAGACAAACTTCAGTGTTTTTTCTTTGACTGGTGGAGTGCTTAACACAAGAGTGTTCATACTTCTTAGCATGAGTATTACACCACTTTATTGAGAGGTGAATATGATAAGGATAATGGCAACTCATAGATAGTGAACAATGTGTGCATGCTCTTGAGGAGCTTGAATCTTGGCACTAATCTTTGTTAGCTTTATGAATTAGGTGAGTAAGGGGGGAGGGATTGTGCATGAAAAATGGGAATGAGAACAACATATTCTCAGAGCTGTTGTGAAACTTCAGTAAGGGTTAGCAAATGCTTATATATAGTAAACTCTTAGGAAATATAGGCACCTGTTGCTGTTGATGTGGTTATGATGGTAAGGATAATAATTACAAAGTCTTTAAATAGTGCCTGGCACATAACAGTTGTTAGGAAAACACAGATGCCATATGTTTTAGGGTTTCTATTACTTTGGTAAAGCCATGACTAAAAGCAATGTGCTAAGGAAAGCGTTTATTTGGTTTACATATCCCAGGTCAGAGTCCATTGAGGGAAGCCAAGGCAGAATCCTGGGGACAGGAGCTGATGCAGAAGCTATGGAGGATGCTGCTTACTGGCTTGTTCCTCATAATCTGCTCGACTGCTTTCTTACGTGACCCAGGACCACCAATTTAGAGTTGCCACTGCCCTCCCACATTAATTATTAGTCAAGAAAATGCCTCGCAGGCTTGCCTACAGGTTAGTCTGATAGGCAATTCCTTAAGCAAGATTCCCCTCATTGAGTTGACAAAAAACAACCAGCACAACATGCATCAGAATCCTCTTGAAGACTTATTAATGCACACTATAGTTTCTAATGTAATAGGTCAAAGATGAAGCCCAGATATTTGTATTCCTGATTTTCTTTCAGGAAATACTGATGCAGTTGGTTTCGGTAAGGAATGCTATAAGTAAGTCATTCCATCTACCTTCCAACCCTGAAATGAAAGGGATCTGGCATTTAGATAGAAAGAAGGTAGCCACTTCATAGGCTGTATATACTTCTGACTTAGTATGGAGAGCCTTAAAGCTAGTGTGAGCCTGACAAAGTAGCACTGTCACTGTTAGTCAAGTCTGTATGGCTGTAATAAGTCTAGGTGAAGTCTAGAACAGTACAAAGGGAGTGGGACAGATTGGAGAGCAGGAGACTGAAGGGTGCAGGCTCTTTGTTGGAATCAAAACCAACAGCTGATCTATTAATCAAGAAAGAGAGCTAAGGCTTGAAAAACAGGCCTGTAATCCCAAGTACTCTGGAGGTTGAGGCAGGAGGATTGTAAAGTATGCCTGGGCAACAGACTGAGTTTCGAGCCAGCCTGGAGAACTTAAATAAGTGAGAGCCTATCTTAGCAGTAAGTAGAAAACAGGCTTGGTCTGTAGCTCGGTGATCCAGTGCTTGCTCAAGAATATGCAGGAGGCCCCATCAGTCCCCATTATTGCAGAAAATGTGAGGAAACATTTTAAAGGGTTCTTACTTAAATTTATGTTAACATGCAATAATTTTAATTCTTCAATATTTTAATGCAAAACCTTTGAATATGTTGTTGACTTGAATCCTACATTTATCTTTTATGTTTTGATTCTAACAGACTAAGTAAACCAACAGTTAGTTGTTGTGGGAGGTCTCTGCAGGCTGTAAAGGCAGCACGAAACAATCCTGGTGAGGCAAGAATGAAACTCCTTTAGCCCGATTTAGGTAACCAGTGCTGGACCAGGACTTCTTGGAGTCTGACATCAGCTCGTGTATTTTTGCCATATTTCAGCACAGTACAGTTTTGAATAAAAGTTACCAGATAACAATTAGCTCATCCCCTTGGGTACACAAAACTCAAGATGTTTACATTGAAATTTTACAAAGTACATATGTCTTCATCCTTGAAATGGTTTCTGTTGAGTTAGAAAGAGTGTTCAAGATAAAGTCTAGGGAGAATGATTAAAGTAAACAATCCCTGTGGGAGTTGGGATTTGACCTGTCCCTAAGATAACATGGAAGTCACTTGGGCAGTTGTGAAGTAAAAATCACATCTCTCGTGAGGATGAGTTGTATGGCCTAGAAGCAGTGCTCAAGGTTTTAGGAGGAAAAGTCTAGGGGGATTATCAAACATAATATTCTGAGCAATATGAGCAGAACCTGATTCAACAGGTGGCAAAGGATCACCAGGTTGTAAACTACATGTTCCCCCAGCATTCTGGGAGAATAGCCAAGTATCTTGTCCCTCTGAAGAGATCAACTGTGAGCTTAGCATTCCTGGTTTCTCCAGTACTCATCTGGTACACAAGGACCTCTTCGTCCTCTACAAGTCTTCTTCAGTTTTGAGATTGTTTTTTGCTTTGCATTGTTTTTGTTTTTAAGGGTGGGTTTATTTTGGCCTGCAGTTCAGAGGGATATATGTTCATTACAGCAGAGAATGTGAGGGTGCTGGACTCATTGCATCTGAAGTCAAGAGGCAGAGATGAATTCAAGGTGGTTAAATAGAACTAAACTTTGGCAGTTGCAAAGATCACTGAATATTCTATTTTATATCATTTCTCTGATGTATGGTAGTATATATGATATTATATAAAAATAAAAAATATGTTTTATATATATATGTTTAATTCATCTGTGGATTTTATTTTACTTTATAGCATTTGCTTTTCAGACATTTTAAAGCATTTCATGTGGTTTTAATTAAAATAACCACTCTAGTTTTGCTTCAAATTTCATTAATTTATATAATATTTAATCTAGTTATTATCTAAGTACAGTTGGCATAAACAGTCTTGAAGGCAAATACATCTGTCTCCTGTTAGATATTTAATGCAGTTACTGGGTACAAAATTATATAAGCAGAATGCAGATTGACCTGTTAGTCATGAGCTTCAATCAGTTAGTATATCTTACAGTATTAATTAGGACTAGAGAGATGGCTCAGCAGTTAAGAGCACTTAATTGTTCTTACAGAGGGTCAGAGCTCAGTTTGTAGTACCTATGGCAGGGAGCTTGCAACCCAGCTCCAGGGATACAGCAATCTCTTCTGGCCTCTGTGGGCACATGCATACACTCACACAAACATCTATACTTCACATAATTTAGGAAAGAAATATTTTTTTAAAAAAATATGGGTTAGTTCAGATTTTATTTTTCTTTTCCTTCCTTTTCTATTCCTCTCTCCAGTTTTTTTTTGGGGGGGGGGGAATGAGGAGTGCATTGCTTATAAATGTTTACTATTTTGCTAATCTTTAATATTGACTGAATTATAAAAGGCCTTTAACTTAATTAAAAGCTTGTTAATCTTCTAGACTTTATAATTAAGAACTTGGGGGGGGGAGCCTCCATGAAAAGTATGAATTTTGGCAGTCACAGAAGCAGTATCTTTAAAGGTGGCTCCTGTCGGACAGGATCAGAGGAAACCCATGGCCTCACTCCATGCTGGGCACACACTGGGCCCTCTATAAGAATTGCTACAGTTGTCAGGAACTGGGATTTCAGAGATGATGGCTCTGAATGGTGACAACATAGGGAATAATTTATACCAGAGAATAGTAGGATGCTTGCCTGAAATCTTAACTCTATGAAGTTTGTCCCCCAGGTTTCCCTGTCAAACTTGTGCACAGTAAAGACAGGTATTGATAGTTTTATTGAAGTATGAATGAGGTGGAATGAGTTTTCCGTGAATGTTTGTTAAATAATAAAGGGCCCGTTTGGTTTAGCTGAAAAGGATGAAACTAAGGAAATTTCATTTCAGGCTTTATTAGACTTAGTACAGCCCGCCTTACCCTGGAATAGGTGGTACTACCCTTTTGTTCTGCTGAGAGTGTCTTGTTGTGCTGCTCAGCTGGCCTTAAGACACTCTCCTCCTGCCTCATCATCCTTGAGTGCTGGGATGCAGGCAAACACCACCCCGCCCAACTGCCATTTCAAATTCTGAAGTAACTCTGTTCATTTTATTTATTCTATTTAGTTGTTTGTAATAACCCAGGCACTTTCTGAATTGTTATCTTTATACTTTTAAATTGTATTTTGGTTAATTTTCTTATCAGTTGCTTTCCTACAAAAATAATTGTCTTTCTTTAAAATCTAATTGAAATTTCAATTGCTATTTGATTCATCACAAGCAATTCATTTAGGTGACAATGTCTGCTTCAACAAAAGTGTAACACTTTTTTAAAAGCCTCTTTCTCTCTTTTCCTTTCTTCTTTCCTTTTAAAGGAATCAGCAGGCGGAGATCTTCAGTCTCCTTTAACACCAGAAAGCATCAATGGGACAGATGATGAAAGAGCCCCTGATGTGACACAGAACTCAGAGCCAAGGGCTGAACCAGCTCAGAATGCATTGCCATTTGCACATAGGTACACATTCAATTCAGCAATCATGATTCAATAAGATGTATAAAAATAGAAGCTTATTTGGTTTCAGAAACTCTTGAAGTTACAGTCCTTGAGTGAAAAATCCCAGGTCAGACTTCTTTAATCTATTGTTTTTGGTTGACTGAATGAATATTTTTATTATCTATGTGGAAAGGGGGATATTGAGTTATTTTAATAGAACAAAACATAAAACCCTTCTATTTTTTAAAGACCCTGTTTGTTAACCAGTTTTCTGTTTTCATGTATGTAACTTAATTAAGACTTATACGTTGTAATTAGAAGCAATAGGATTCCTACTCTAAAGTTAAGCTTTACCATCGTCCTAGAGGTGTAATTGCATAATTTCACAGAAGACAGTGAACAGTAATGGCTGGTTGTTTTGTGTACCAACAAGAGGAAAAGCTTGAATTGCTTCTGAATTTTATAAAGAATTCTGTATTCTAAAAGATACAGTGTATTCTAAATGTATTATAAACTAGTTATATTAATTATTGGTGACACTGGGATTATTAGAATGTAGAGAGAAATGTGAAATGGTACTATTGAAAATATTTTTTAACAAAGCCTATCTGTAATCTGCTAACATTAATTTTTACTCTTATTTTAATGCTTTTAACCAAGTAGTTTATGTAAAATTAAGAAAATAGTTTTTGTTTTACTGCACATTTGTGGAAGGACCAATTTTTAGAAAATTAAATTCTTTGACAGATTAAAAGTTACAAAGTGAGATATTTTAAGCTGTCTTAAGTGAAGTTTAAGTTTGATTGAAGTGTATTAAATAATAGGGTGTAGGATTAAGCATATCAGGCTGAGGTGGAAGGAAATCAGGAATGACTTAATAAGAAATAAGGATGCACTAATACTAATTCTACATAAGACAGTAAGACATATTGAATGAAGTAAGTTGCAAGTGCTTTCTTTCTCTAGCTCTACAGATAGCTGAACTCAGGTAAACCTTCATTCCCTCAATCTTACTACCAGACATTCATGTTGATTTAGTGAGCTGTCTTTTAAACAAGACTGCAGTTCTTTGATAGCATCACAAAAATTACATTATTTAATTATAAAAAATGATATTGTAGGATAGAATTTTAACTATTTAGGAGAGGAAAAAATTCCTTTCAATTAAGTAATACTTAACATTTCCATTTAAAAGACTGAACTTCACTGATCATAATTTTATACTTAATTTAACACCTAAATTGAACCATCTGTACTGAATACTGTGGCATTTAGAAATAAGAACTTTTAAATTTAACATTTGTAGAAGCTACTTCCACTTTATAAACTTAAAATTTTCTAAATGTTTACTGTTTTACTAATCTTTAATATTGATGCTACTTCCTTAGAATTGATCCTCATCTGTTGTTGTTGTTTTTTTTTTTCCTCTGTGTTCTTGAGTGTCTGTTGGGAATCACTTTTACCTTAAAGATACTGCTGTGACTTCCGTGACTTGTCATGGAGGATTTGACAGTGTTCTAAATAGAAAACCTAGGATATTAATTTAATCTTATAATTATGTTAAAGGCATTTTATAATCATATAGTTTTTTTTATTATTTTAAGTATTCCAAACTATAGGATTTTATAAAAATATTCCTTTGAGTTCATTGATACATGATTCAGCATTCATTTACTTCTTTGACTAAAATACAGATTTTTCATGGGAGGTAGATTATTTACAGCTACTGCAAGAATTTCCGATTGTCAAGTCCTCAGGGATGGTATTATTCAAGATTTCCCAAACTGTAGTAGTTTCAAATCAACTTATTTTCATAGCTTCTGAAAAAGAAGACAAGTAGAAAACATCAAAAAAGCTCATTGTAGTGTTTCAGTGTTACACACACACATATGTATATGTATATATGTATGTGTATATATATATGTGTGTGTGTGTGTATATACACACATATGTGCATGCTGAATTATGATGTAAAGCATCACAGATTGAAAGCACATGCCTTTGGCTTATGAGAACACTAAATCCTGAAATTTAGTTTATGTGTCCTAGGTCCAATTACTCATTAGTAATGACTTTGATTTGACAGCTCAGTTCTGCTGACCCTGCCCTAATATGTATATATGTATACATATCATAACTTATACACAATTTTTAAAACATTTTATGTGTATGAGTGTTTTGCATGCAGGCGTGTCCATGCCCGGTTCCCACAGAAGCCAGAAGAGGGTGTCAGATCTCGTAGAACTGGAGTTATAGATGGTTGTGAGCCACCATGTGAGTGTTTGGATCTGAATATTGGTCCCCTATAAGAGCAACAAGTGCTCTTAAGCACTGAGCCAACTCCCCAGCCTCCATTATATTATTTTAAAAGCAAATCCCAGATACATAATTTAATCCACATTTGTTTCTTAAAACTATCTTGAACTTTTAAGGAAATACGTGTGTGTGTGTGTGTGTGTGTGTGTGTGTGTGTGTGTGTGTGTGTGTAATATATAACATGTTATATATTATAATATTTATAATGTTTTAAGGAAATACAGTATAACTTTTCAGGAAATATTAAGCTGTGACAGTTTTTGTTTTACCTAATTCAGTGGCATAATGCCCTACCTTGGATCATTTGCTACTTTCTTTGGTTTTTAAGAACTGTAGTCCTAATTTAAGTGTAACATATGGGCTATGTACTCCTTAGTTAAATGCTATAGTACTGTTTTATGGCCCTGTCATATACTATGCAATAATAGTCTCATCAAATACATTTTGAGGAATGAACACTCTTTGGTATACTTTTTAAAATGTTTTCAAACGCTTAGGAGTTGTAAAACAGAAAGGCCATGAAGGTAAATGTTTGCTAATTTCTTTGAGGGTATGTTATTAAATCTTTTCTAAATTGCTTTTTTTATTTAAAATTAGTTTTAACTTAAAAATTATTTTTAACTTAAATGATAATATCCTTTTACGGTTGAACAAAAACTCATTGACAAACTGAAGTGACTTTTTAGGGTGTAATTTGAGACCATAGTCTTAAAGTAGCGGGAACTAAAATATAGTTAGATCCTAATAGACTAATCTGTATATGTTCATGTAAAAAAAAAGTTTTCCTCTCTTATTCAAGGTAATTGTTTGCTTCCTGGTGTTATTTATGTGGGATTCTAGAATGTGTTACCTCTTACAATAAGTGGTTGGATTTTTTAAAATAAGATTTAAGACAATCTAAATTCTCTCAAAAGTAGTTAGTTTTATATTATTGTAGTGCTGTTGGAATGTGATACTGAAGTATACTACTGAAAATTAAAAATTTTTATTTTGTTAATTATAATGTTGATTCTCAGAGATGCAGTATTATATTGGTAAATAACTGCTATCATCTTTTTGAGAGTTAGGAACAAATATCAGCAGTTTGTGAAGCTATTTTTGTACTGACAAATTTTGATAAGTTTGGCTACTGTAATGGGAAGTAGGCTCTTTCAAGCACTGATTATATTTGAATTCTTCTAATGTTTGGATAATACATTCTCCTGGTGCTGATGGACTCTATGCATTTTGGAGGTACTGCATGTATCTTCTATTCTGTTAGAGATATTTCTGTCACTTCCTATGTGTTTGCAACAACTCATTAAAAGGTGTATGCAGAAATATTTTCTAGTATATTGCTTTTTGCTATAAAAACAGTGTAATCATAAACACCTGAGTTAATCTACTCCATGTATTATCTAAGCTTCAGAAAGTGACTAGATTGAAATTATATCTAGAAGAGTTTATGCAGTTTCAAAAACTAAATTTCATTGGGTATTTTAGGTAAATTTTAATCAATTTATTTAAAATTAAAGTATTTATATTTACATGAGCTAAAGTATACCAAGATGTGCTTTTTATTAATTAAATGCAGTTTGTATTTACTTGCGGATGTTACAAATCAGAAAAGACTGAATGGTGTTACGAAGTCTAAGTACCACCTGACATGTTGGCACACACCACTACCCTAGCACTCTGGCAGGCAGAGCTCCATGAGTTCCAGGCCAGCCTAGGTTACATAGTGGAAGTTATCTCAAAAAGGAGTCTAAGTTACCACATACTATATGCATCCAGGGATATGTTTCCCTCCTTTTCAAGAAGCAAACAGAACTTTGAAGGTTATAGTTAAGAGCTAAAGTAAAAATAATTGCTGTAGATGATTTTTGTTTGGATAAATCTATAAAGCTTAGATTTAAATTCATGAATGATTTTTAACACTGATAAAATTATAGACAAAAATTTTACATTGTACAGTTTCCTTAACTGATACTGTTGTGCCTTTGCATTGTCAAACCTTAAAAATTATGCTAGATTTTTCAGAATTAATATGAAAGCTAAGATAACTTGAGATCACAACTCAGCAATTTAAATATCCAGAATTTACTATAATTGTGAAAGGGTAGCATTTTATAACAAGTGCTATCTTGTTAATTTGCTACTTAAATACTGTTTTGCATTCTCTCTAAGCTGAGAAGCAATTTATGTCTTTTAAAATAAAATCTAACAAAGAATATAGCTTATTGACCAAGATTGTTAAATAGTTTTCTGAATAGATACACCTAATTTTCTCTTAAATTTTTGGAAAACTACTCTTCATTTTCTGAAGTCATGTGAGATTTTGCCAAATGTGTAAAATTTGCCAAAGCCTTTTTTGAGGCATTCTCACTCAGTATAGGTTACTTATAACAAGAAATGATTCAGTGAGATCCAGACATTTCTAAGCTACTTGCAGCATGGGTTTTAGTCCCTTTCCCTTCCCTTCTCTGCTGTTCCTGGAAGTGAAGAAAGGTATTGAGTCATTCATCTCTAGTGGCTGTCAGCTTCTTTTTGTGACTGTGTAGCTGCAGTTAGCTATGTGGTAACTGGCCATGGATGAGATTAATCTAGATTACTATCTCTTCCTTTGGAGGACTTTTAAAAGATTCCCCTCTCTTTCTGTTGTTAGCAAACTCTTGTGTGGATTCCATCGGAGAGAGGTTTGCAGTTTGGACAAGTCTGCTCTGGCA